AATCTTTTCAATGATTTAATAGCAGAAAATTTCCCAAATCTGAAGATTGGAATGGAAAATCAAATACAAGAGGCCTACAGGACCCCAAATGTACAAAATTACAGCAGACCCACACTAAGACATATTATAATGAAAATGACTAATAGAGAATAAAGATAAAAATCTTGGAGGCTGTGAGAGAAAAAAAATATCAAATTACATATAGGGAAAAAACCAATTCCTATCTTAACTGATTTGTCAGTCCAGACCCTCAAAACTAGGAGGCCCTAGAGTAATATATTTCAACCTCTGAAAGAAAACAGATGCCAACCAAGAATTTTATATCCAGCAAAATTAAGTTTCAGATTTGAAGATGAAATTAAAACATTCCATTATAACAAAAATTAAAAGAATTCACAACTAGAAAGCCTACCCTATAGAGCATACTCAACAAAACATTCCATGAGGATGAAGTTAAAAAAAAAAAAAAAGTGAAAACCAGCAAAGGGAGGATCTACACTAAATTGACATTCAACCAAATGAGAAACTAGGACAAATCAAAAACCTGAAATAAATCAAAATGACAGGGAATACAAATCATATCTCAATAATAACCTTGAATATTAATGGCCTAAAGTCATCAATCAAAAGACAGAGAGGCAGACTGGATTAAAAAGCAAGACCTAACAATATGCTGTCTTCAAGATACTCACCTCATGGGCAAAGACATCCACAGGCTGAAGGTGAAAGGATAGGAAAAAACTTATCACTCATATGGATTGAGTAAACAAGCAAGGGTTTCCATTCTCATTTCAGATAAAGTAGACTTCAAACCAAAGTTAATCAGAAATGACAAGAAGGACATTTCACATACTTCTTAAGGGAAGTATATATAAGCAGGACATAACAATTATAAATATTTATGCCCCAAACAATGGAGCATCTATGAACATCAAACAAACCTTTCTCAACTTCAATAGTCAAATAGACCACAATACAATGATACTGGGTGACTTTAAGACACCTCTCTAACTACTGGACAGATCTTCCAAACAAAAACTAAATGAGGAAACTACAGAACTAAATAATATAATCAATAATTTAGACTTAACAGACATATATAGAATATTTCTTTCATCAATGAGCAAATATATTGTCTTCTCAACAGTACATGGCTTCTTCTCCCAAAGAGACCATATCTTATGCCACAAAGCAACTCTTAGCAAATACAAAAAAAATAGAGATACTACCCTGCATTCAATTAGACAATAATGGGATGAAATTAGAAATCAATGATAAAATTAAAAATACAAGCTACTGTATCAAATGAAGACTAAATAATACACTATTGAATGATGAATGGATACTAGAAGAAATCAAGGGCAAAATTTTAAAAAATCCTTAGAGGTAAATGAGAACTCTGCTACAACATATCAAAATCTCTGGGACACTATGAAGGCAGTACTAAGAGGAAAGTTTATTGCATTGAGTGCATTCATTAAAAGAATAAAAAGTCAACAAATAAATGACCTAACACTACATCTCAAAGCCCTAGAAAAAGAAGAATAAATCAATACCAAAAGCAGTAGAAGACAGGAAATAATTAAAATCAGAACTGAAATTAATGAAATTGAAACAAAATGAAACAATTCAAAAAATTGACAAAACAAAAGTTGGTTCTTTGAAAAAACAAATAAAATAGATAAACCCCTGGCCATGCTAATGAAGAGAAAAAGAGAGAAAACTCAAATTACTAAAATACAAGATGAAGAAGGAAATAGCACAATGGACACGTCTGAAATACAGAAGATAATTAGAGACTATTTTTGAAAATTTATACTAATAAAATAGAAAATATTGAAGACATTGAAAAATTTCTAGAGACATAAAGCCTACCCAAACTGAATGAGGAGGTCATACATGATTTAAACAGATCAATTTCAATTAATGAAAAGAAAACGCCATCAAAAGCCTACCAACAAAGAAAAGCCCAGGTCCAGATGGATTCTCAGCCGAGTTCTATAAGACTCTCAAAAAAAAATTAACACCAATACTCCTCAAAGTATTCCAAGAAATAGAAAAGAAGGGAATCCTTCTAAACTCATTCTATGAGGCTAACATCATCCTGATACCAAAACCAGACAAAGACACATCAAGGAAAGAAAACTTCAGACCAATATCCCTGATGAACATAGATGCAAGAATTCTCAATAAATTCTGGCAAATTGCATACAAAAACATATTAAAAAGATAGTGCACCACTATCAAGTAGGATTCATCCCAGGGATGCAGGGTTGGTTCAACATACAGAAATCAATAAACGTAATTCATCATATTAATAGATGTAAAAAGAAGAATCATATGATCATCTCAATAGATGCTGAAAAAGCATTTGTAAAAATACAGCACACCTTCATGTTCAAATCACTTGAAAGACTTAGTAGGAACATACTTCAACACTGTAAAAGCTATATATGCTAAACCCCAAGCCAGCATCATTCTAAATGGAGAGAAATTGAAAGCATTCCCACTAAAAACTGGAAAAAGACAAGGATGTCCTCTTTTACCACTTCTATTCAACATCATCCTTGAAACTCTAGCCAGAACAATTAGACAGATAAAGGAAATTAAAGGGATACAAATAGGTAAAAAAGAACTCAAACTATCACTATTTGCTAACAACATGATTTTCTATCTAGAAGATCCAAAAAATTCCACCAGAAAACTTCTAGAACTAATAAATGAATTCAGTAAAGTAGCAGGATATAAAATCAACACCCATAAATCAAACACATTCCTATACATCAGCAATGAATCCACTGAAAGAAAAATTAGAAAACTATTCCATTCATAATAGCCCCCCCCAAAAAAAAAATCCTGGGAATCATTCTAACAAAAGAGGTGAAACACCTCTATAATGAAAACTACAGAACACTAAGGAAAGAAACTGAAGAAAACCTCAGAAGATGGAAAGATCTCCCATGCTCCTGGATAGGCAGAATTAATATTGTCAAAAAGGCCATACTACCAAAAGCGTTATACAGATTTAATGCAATTTCTATTAAAAACCCAATGACATTCTTCATAGAAACAGAAAAAGCAATCATGAAATTTATTTGGAAAAATAAGAGACCAGAATAGCTAAAGCATCCTTAGCAAGAAGAGAGAAGCAGGAGGCATCACAATACCAGACCTTAAACAATACTACAAACCTACAGTAACAAAAACAGCATGGTATTGACAACAAAACAGACTTGTAAACCAATGGTACAGAAGAGAGGACACAGAGACAAACCTACATAAATACAGTTATCTCATACCAAACAAGGGTGCCAAAAATATTCACTGGAGAAAAGATAGCCTACTCAACAAATGGTGCTGGTAAAACTGGAAATCCACATGTAGCAAAATGAAATAAAACCTCTATCTCTCACCCTGCACAAAAATCAACTCAAAGTGGATCAAAGACTTAGGCACAGAACAGAGACCCTGTGCCTAATAGAAGAAAAAATAGGCCCAAATCTTCACCATGTCAAACTAGGATCTGACTTCCTTAACAAGACTCTTATCAAGAATCAATAAATGGGATAGATTCAAATTAAAAAGCTTCTTCTCAGCAAAGGAAATAATAATGTGAGGAGACAGCCTACAGATTGGGAGAAAATCTTTACCACATGCACCTCCAATAAAGCATTAATCTCTAAAATATATAAATAATTCAAAAATCTTAACACCAAAACAACAAATAACCCAATCAATAAATGGGCTAAGAACTGAACAGACACTTCACAGATGAAGAAACACAATTGATCAACAAATATATGAAAAAGTGTTCAACATCTCTAGCAATTTGAGAAATGCAAATCAAAACTACTCTAAGATTTCATCTCACTCCAGTCAGAATGGCAATCATCAAGAATTCAGGCAAGTGGTAGCACGCTCACCTGGCATGCGTGCGACCCAGGTTCGATCCTCAGCACCACATACAAACAAAGATGTTGTGAATTAAAAAACATTCTCTCTCTCTCTCTCTCTCTCTCTCTCTCTCTCTCTCTCTCTCTCTCTTTAAAAAAAAAAGAATACAGGCAACAATAAATGTTGGTGAAGATGCAGTGAAAAAAGTACACTCATACATTGTTGGTGGGACTGCAAAATGGTGCAGCCAATACAGAAAGCAGTATGAAGATTCCTCAGAAACCTGGGAATGAGACCACCATTTGACCCAGCTATTCCACTCCTTGGTTTATACCCAAAGGACTTAAAATGAGCATATTATAGTGACGCATTCACATCGATGATTATAGCAGCTCAATTCACAATAGCTAGACTATGGAACCAACCTAGGTGTCCCTCAAGAGATGAATGCATAAAAAAAGGTGGTATATATACTCATTGGAATATTAGTCAGCTTTAAAGAAGAGTAAAATTATGGCATTTGCCAGTAAATGATTGGAGTTGGAGAATATCACGCTAAGCGAAATAAGCCAATCCCACAAAACCAAAGGCCGAATGTTTTCTCTAATATGCAGATGCTAAATCACAATAAGGCAGGGGACACTACGGAAGAATAGTGTTACCTTAGATTAGGTAGAGGGAAGTGATGGGAAGGAAGGGGAGGGGATGTGGGAATAGGAAAGATAGTAAAATGAAACAGACAAATGAAACTATATGTATATATGTGACTACATGACCAATATGATCCCACAACATGTACACTCAGAAAAATGAGAAATTATATACAATCTATATATCAAATGTATATCAAATGTATATCAAAATGCATAAATGCATTCTACTGTCATGTATAACTAATTAAACTAATTAAAACAAAATATTTTTTAAAATGGAGAGTATAAAGAAAATGTTTAAGATACATTTGCACTTAATGTAACTATTACTCAAAGTAAAAGTGACAAAGAAAAACTTTGTGCTGAAAATAATTCCTAAATTTATTTGTTCCCTACCATCATGAAAAACAACTCCTACAAACTTAGTTGAAAAGAAAAAAGGAGTGCACTCACCTCGACTATAGAGTGGGCTACTGCTCAATGGGGGTGGAACAGCGGGGTTGGGTTTCTGTGCCTTGGGCTGCACTATGATTTGGTAACCCTGCATGAGGCGCTGGCAAATGAACTCTTCAAACACCTGTTGGGCTGTCATCTGCACACCATCTTCATCCCTCCTAAAAAAACAAACAGATGATTGTGCACATGGATATATGTGTTTGGCCTTGGGAAGTGACACTTAAGAGTTCATAGTGTAAAGTCCTTTACTTCATCCCAGACAACCATTATATGGCATTTCATAAAATTATCAATTTGTAAATCAGTCTGGGAGAAATGATAAGTTCAAAGGCATGGAAAAAGAAGGCAAGTAATAATCAATGCCCAAATGAGTAACCTTAGAAAAGAAGAAGAGATTTAGTGTGCCCAAAATAATTGCAAAAGGAAATTTGAAATCAAAGAGGAGAAATTGTTAATGTCAACAGAACTTGAAAGAAATGAACAGTTCTTGCATCACAAAATCTCCTAAATATAAAAGAATACAGATTTAAAAGTTCAATATTATGATGCATTTGTTTGTACATAATCAGAACCCTCATAAACAAAGCTGAGCTTTTTTTTTTTTTAATCATGCTAGACATTGAACCCAGGACCTGTGTGTGCTAGGCAAGCACTCTACCACTGAGTCACTTAGTTATACTCCAAGGACTCTGAATACCTTTTTCTGAACCAACCTGTCCATGTCTGCTTCTGGCAGGAGATCATAGCAGCCTTCCGTATAGTCATTCTGCAGGCCCTGGCGGTCGGGGAAGTAGTCGGTGGTGAGGGGGAGGCATGCCGGAGTAGTGAGAGACTTCCAGTCCACTCCAACTGTGCAACAGAAGCCTGGCACTACAGGGGGAGCAGACAGTGTCAGAACTGCCTCGCATAACAGGGTAAAAAGGTATGTGTGGTCACCATGGCAGGTTTGGGATATGGGGGAAGGAGAGGGAACAAGGGTGAGAAAACAGTTCATTGTAAAAGGTAATAAAATTGCCAGGATAGGGAAGGAGAAGAGGAAAGGGTGGGGGAGGGAGAAAGAGAAAAGAGAGAAACAGATTTTGTTAGACAATGCAGTGCACATGCTTCTCCAATCCCATCATGCAAGTGGGATTCGCAGCTGATATATTATATTTTCTGCTGAACATGAGCTACAGCCACAATACCAGTGAGGTTACTGCAGGGCAGGCAGGATTACATGTCCAAGCAAATCAATTTTCTGAGAGCAGATGAGAGGCTCAGGCTGGAGCCCCTCTGGAGGACTGCAGAGTGGCTAAGTGGGAAAGGAAGACAGCTGAGCCTGATTTGACAGCAAAACAGCATACAGTCACAGAAATAAGTTATACTTTTGAGAACTGCAAAAGATCCAAAAGGGCAGGAGAAAAAAATAAGGGAGGATGTCTGGGAAAGTTTTGAGGCTGGAACTTTAAGAGACAGAGTTAGACAATCCAGAAAAAAAAAGCTGCAATAAGCAGAGTGGGCCAACCACATGGGTCTGTCTGGAATTGTCTGCTCTTCAGTTAAAGCAAGATTTCTCAATCTTGGAAACACTGACACTTCAAACAGCTAATTCTGGGCTGAGGAGGGCTATCCTCAGCATTGTAAAGTGTTACCCAGCATCACTGAACACTATACACTAGGTGCCACTGGCTCCCTCTAGTGGTGAAACCCAGAAATGTCTGCAGATAGTGCTACAAGTTCCCTGATACTGCCCATTTGAGAATCACTGAGGGGAAGTAATTAAGTGGTGCTTTGGTTTGGATGTGGTTTGTTTCCCAAGGATTTGTTGTTGTTTTTTTTTTTTTTTTTTGGGGGGGGGGGTTGGTCCCAGTGTTGGGTGAGGAGAAATGTAAAACCTCTAAGAGGTAAAGCCCAAAGGAGGTGATTAGGAGCATGCCCTTGGGGAGGGATCAGGGAAGCTCTGATGGGATCTTGAGATAGTGCTTGAGTGTTCTTGGTTCTTCTAGCCCCTCTCCATATTCTGGTTTCCTGTCTTTTCATATGATCTTTCCCTATTACATGATCTCTCATTGTGAGCCTTTCACTATCATGTGATGCATCTGAGGGGCTCTCAGCCAAGCTAACATCATGTAGCTTACAATTTCAGCTTCTCAAACTATAAGCTAAATAAGCCTCTTTTCTTTATAAAGTTATTCCACTTCAGGTATTTAAGTGAGGATTATGGTAGCTTTTTTTTTTTTTTTTTTTCAGTACCAGGGATTGAACCCAGGGGCACTTAACCATTGAACCACATTCCCAGCACATACACCCCGTTCTTTTTTATATATATATTTTATCTAGAGACAGGGTGTTGCTGAGTTGTTTAATGCCTCACTAAGCTGCTGAGGTTGACTTTGAACTTGCAGTCTTCCTGCCTCAGCTTCCTGAACCAGTGGAAATAAGCCTCCACACCTGTCTTAATCTTTAAGTAACATCTTTTTAAGTAAAGATTATTTTCAAAGTCTCTATAAGACAAGCAATATGGAAGAAAAAAATTTTGTGCCTTTGCCTCTGGGTCTTGAGTGGGCTCTTCACAACTCATATTTATATAGTGATTACAGCTAATGACATGGTTACCTCATCTGCCCTCACATCACCCTCACATGGATGAGGAAGACCTGTGTGCTAAATCACAGTGAGAAGATGCCCCATGTAGCACCACTGAAGTGGGGAAGATGATTAAACTCTCTTAGGATCACCTTCATGGTCTACGCAGTCTTATTAACTCACTAATACTTCAGCACAGAATAGCCAAAATAATCACCCCAGTTTCCCCCATGGTAGACAAGGAGCTAAACTTATTCCTATTTCCTAGATAGATACAGGAGAATAGAGAAATCTGATCAAAGCCATGGTGGGGAGGCCAGGAATAAAAGTCATCTATATCTTTTAGCCTTGTAAGTCATGTTGACCCTCATCAGCCTACCAATCCTTGGGATTATAAAAAACCTGTAAAAATGCTTTCTGCTGGGCACACACCAAAATACACCAAAATGCCTGGTCCTAAAGCCCACATTGAAAAGGCTTCAGAGTCTTAGTTTAATGATGTTCTTCCCTGGGAGAAAAACTGTGGCCTCTTGTACCCCATACATTCTGGTCCTGAAAGAAGGCCTCTAAGGAGGTCTACCCCGAAATAATAAGTAGATAACAAAATCCGTCTTTTCATTGCTCGCAGCTTTTTAGAAAATAATCAATCTGCCAATCATAAACCGAAAGAAAAAAATATACTCTCTGCCATTCACTATACCTTCATTATATGCCATCACTAAAAAAAAAATTGGAAACCGTCTAAATGGTCACACATAAGAAATGATTACTCTAACCAACATATGTAATATGTTTCATAGAGGAATTTAAAATGACAATTCAGGACCTAAAGATATAATAAAAGGATTAAGTTAATCAAAAAATGTAGACAAAAAGACTCATTGATGTATATCCATTGGTCATAGTCAAGCAAAATGAAGTTTATGAGGTGGCAGGATTTTTTTTTCCTGCTATTTTGTGACTGTAGATAAGATGTTCTCTTACTGTACATCTATTTAAGTTGACAAGAATGGCCAAAATGAGTACAAACTATCAAATATCATCATCTACAGGTGTGTAAGGAGTTCCAGTAATTGCCTATTATTTCTTTGCAATTTTTTTCTAGAGCCATCATTAGGCATTTAAGAGCTAATGCCAGATCTAGACTGGCACTAGAGGCCTATGAGTAAATCTGTTACCTTTTCCATGTGCACTGAATTACATTTTGAAACAAGTCTTGGGCCACACCTCTCTCATTTCACATCAGAGAAACCAAACAAACCTCCCTCACTCATTGCTTTCCTGTACCCCACAGAGTATGGACTTCTAAACCATTCTCTTCCCACAGGGCTTTTTCTTTCTTCCTCATGCTCTGAACATCCCATAAACCCTAACATCTACCTCCTGCTAGCAGTTGCCCCCCCTCTTACTTGGGTCTGGAGAGGTAGAAACATTGTCCTCTAGAGAATCCTTATTCTGAATCCTAGGATTCGTACCTATGGAAAGATAAAAACAGCTTGTCTGAATGAAGCTCATTTTGCAAAAGAGTTCTCCCAGTTATACTTTTAAAAGGCTCCAAATTCAAGCTAAAAATAAAAATGATAATTAAGTGTCAATTCTAGGCTAAGGATTTCAAACAGTGCAAAAGGATCAAAGAAAAAATGAACAAAATAAAACTTGGGAACGAATCAGAACTTTAAGGTTTTATTAATATCATTCTTTGCCAAATGAGACTTTTTAGCAAAGCAACCCACTACTTTTTTAAAGAAAATGAACACATTACGAAATCATTTCAACTAATCACAGCAATTTTTAGCAAATCTAAAAAGACCTATTTAAATTTACTCCACTCATAATTCATCCTTATCTACTAGAATTCCTCCCCAAATCATGGCTTTCTAGAATATGACATAAGACATCAAAACTCACTATTTTAAGAGCATAACAATAATTCTACTTACAACTGGGCTGAAAAGGGAAACAGACATTCTTTGAAATGCTACTTACTGACTAAAAAGTAATAAAACTAATTTTAAAACACATAATAGTACTTATAGTACCATAAAAAGAATTGAAAAGATCCTCAACAAACTATCAACAGTGGTTATCCCAAAAAAGAAAGCTAAAGATGGCAGAAAGTAAAAGAGAACTTGTGCTTTTTACTCTAAATTCTTTTGTGTTATTTGAATCTTATTTTATAATGAGAACAACTATTTATAAATTCCTTGTGAAATCTTAGGAAAAACAAGCTTGAGAGAGAGCATGCACAAATCATGTTCTCTGGGAAAGAACTTATATCCAGAATATTCAGAGAACTCTCACAACTCAAGACCACAAAAACTCAAACCCACTGAATAAATGGGCAAAAGATTTGAACAGACAATTCATCATGGGATAAACGAAGGTGAATGAGCACATACAAACATATTCAACATCATTAGTCATTAAGGAAACAGCAAATTAAAAGCACAATGAGGGGCTGGGTCTGTAGCTCAGTGGTAGAACACTTGCCTAGCATATGTGACACTGGGTTCAATTCTTAGCACCACATAAAAATAAATAAAATAGGGGCTAGGGTTGTGACTCAGTGGTGGAGTGCTTGCCTAGTATGTGTGAGGCACTGGGTTTGATTCTCAGCACCATATAAAAATGAATAAAATAAAGGTTCATCGACAACTAAAAATATTTAAATAAATAAATAATATGAAGGCATTCTGTTTATCTACAGCTACAAAAAAAACTTAAATAAATAAAAAAGCACAGCGAGATAGCGCTATACACCAAAATTAATGATTAAAAATGACTGATAGGGAGCTGGGATTTGTGGCTGAGCAGTAGAGCACTCGCCTAGCATGTGTGAGGCCACATAAAAATAGATCAAAAAAATAAAGGTATTGTATCCAACTATAACTAAAAATAAAAAAAATATTTTAGAACCATGACTGATCAGGGCTAGAGCTGTGGCTCAGCGCTAGAGCACTCACCCAGCAGTTGCGAGGTGCTGGGTTCAATCCTCAGCACCACGTAAAAATAAATAAATAAAATAAAGGTATAAAAAAAATATTTAAAAAATAATTAATCATAGCAACTACTGACAAAGATGTGGGGCAACGAAAATTCTTATACATTGCTGGTAGGAATACTAAATGATACACCACTTAGGAAAACAGTTTGTATGACTTACTCCCACTCATATGACTTTACATAAGAGAAATGAAAACTTATGCTCATACAAAGTTTGTTGATGCAAAATTATATCAATGTTTAAAGCAGCTTTATTCATAGTTGCCAAAACCTGTAAAAAAAACACAAATGTCTTTCAAATGGTGAAGAGATAAACAAACTGCACTATATCCACACAATGGAATACTACTTGGAAATAAAAAGTAATGAACTACTGATGTATGCAACAACTGGATGAATCTCAAATGCATTAGATGAGTGAAAGAAGCCAGACTCAGAGCTACACAGTGTATGATTCCAACATGCTGAGAAATATAAAACTAGAGGGACAGAGAACAGATTTATGGTTGCTAGGAGACAGGAAAGGGATCAAATATAAAAAGGGGTTGTGGCTCAGCAGTAGAGCACTTGTCTAGCTCGTGCGAGGCACTGGGTTCAATCCTTAGCACCGTATAAAAATAAATAAAATAAAGGCATTGTGTCCAGCTACGACTAAATATATACATATACACACACACATACACACACACGTATGTGTGCGCGCGCGTGCATGCATGCATATGTGTGTGTGTATGTGTGTGTATATATATATACACATACACACATATATATTTTTTTAAGTAAAAAATTTAAAAAATAAAAAGGCAACAAGAAAGAATTCTGGGGATTCATGAAAAAGTTCTGTATTTTGATGTATTTGTTGATGGGTATGTGGCTCTGAATTTATCAAACTCATAGAACTATATGCTAAAAAGAGAAAATTTTACTATATGTAAATTTAAAATATACCAGCACAATGGTATACACCAGTAATTCCAGCTACATGGGAGGTTGAGATAGGAGGCTAGCAAGTTCTAGACTATCTTTGGCAACTTAGTGAGGCCTTGTGTCTAAAAAATAAAAAGGACTGGGGGCATAGTTCAGTGGCCGAGCACCCTACTATTACTACTTCAAAAAATTTTAAAAAAAAGGCTGGGCTATAATTCAATGGCAGATTAGCCCTAGCTAGGATCAATCCCCAATACTGCCAAATAATGTTTTTTAAAAAATAGGAAGAGCCGGGTGGCACACACCTATAATCCCAAAGGCTCAAGAGGCTAAGGCAGGAGCATCCTGAGTTCAAAGCCAGCTTCAGCAAATTAGCAAGGCCCTAATCAACTCAGTGAGACTCTGTCCCCAAATAAAATACAAAAAAGGGCTGGGGATGTGGGGTTAAGCACCCCAGGATTCAATCCCTGGTACCAAAAAAAAAAAAAAAAACAGGAAGGAAGGGAGGGAGAGAAGGAAAGAAGGAAGGGGAAAGAAAGAGAAGAAGGAAGGTAGGAATGAAACAGAAAGGAAAGGAAACAATCTGCCCAATGCACTGGCCCCTGCTGGGGACCACAGTGAAAAATAAGTGAAGGGCATGGCTCTGAGGCCACCACCAACCACACTCAAAACGAAATTCAACAGAGTCAGGAGAGAAACCCACAGAGATGTTACTCTTATGAGTCAGAATTCATGAATCATGTTCAAATGCAAAAGAAAATTTGAGTCATACTTAAGTATCTGGGTTTGGTGTGATCTGTCAAGTCTGAGGAGGTAAAGGTAGAGTCACACATGAGGTTTTCTTCTGTCTTTTCTGGTTTCTTCTTCTTTTTGTTAATAAATGAAATGTGAACCGGATGTATACTTACACTCCACTCCACCTCATTCCAAAACAAGGACTCTATATGGCAATCTTACCCTAAATGAACCCAACGTACATTTGTTCCTTATAACTATTCTGTGAGGGGCAGATGAGTGAGGATCTTTGCGCTCATTATGTAGATAAAGAATCTGAGGCTCCCTGTAGGTGTACTTCAGAGGTAGAGTGTTTGCCTATCATGCTTGTGGACCTAGATTTGATCATCATCACCGCAAAAAAAAAAAAAAAAAAAAAAAAGAAGAAGGAGGAGGAGGAGGAGGAAGAGGAGGAGGAGGAGGAGGAAGGAGGAAAAGGGCGAAGGAAGGAAGGAAGGAAGGAAGGAAGGAAGGAAGGAAGGAAGGAAGGAAGGAAGGGGAAGCAGAAAGAAAGAAGTAGGAGCAACAGCAACAGAGGCTCAGCAAATACTGAAAGCTCAACTCGAAGGTTCGGATCCATGTCACTTTCATTGCAGCACAGTCCCCCATCTAACACATCCTAATTTAGTAGAGATCCAGAGGGCTTTCCTTTCATAGCTACTACTCTACATAGGAGCTGCTTCAAGTAGAATCCCAAAGGAATGACAAGCCAGAGCACCCTGAGGTCTGGAAATTTGGTGTCTTATATGTAAATTTAAAATATACCAGCACAATGGTATATACCAGTAATTCCAGCTACATGGGATTTTGTTTCTTCTCAGAACTTAGCACAGTGGATAGAGTTAAATAAACATTTTGGGGAGGGTTCACAGTTTGAAGATAGCAAACCATATTCCATGAAAATTGAGGACAGCTTGTAAAGAAAGCTACTTAAAAAGAATGCCAGGGGCTGGGATTGTGGCTCAGAGGTAGAGCGCTTGCCTAGCACTGACAGGACCCAGGTTCGATCCTCAGCACCACATAAAAATAAAGGCATTGTGTTGTGTCCATCTACACCTAGAAAATAAATGCTTAAAAAGTTTAAAAAAAAAAAGAATGCCCAAGTCCTTGAAGAAACAAATCCAGTTTAATTGTTCAACAAGGTTTAAGAAAAGCATTAGAAGAAAAATTAAATGATGCTTCAGTGAGAAAAAGCTTACCTAAGGCTTCTAGCATTCACTCAACTATCTACTTTACCATATGTCTACCAACTATCTACCATGTTCCAGAACTGTTTTAAGCTCTAGAGGTACAGCCATAAGTAAAACAAAAATCCTCATCCTCATGGATCTAACAATAAGAATACAAAAGTAAAAAAAAAATCTAGTATGTCAGGTGATGATAAGGAGAAATATTAGGTAGGGAGGATACATGAAGAATTCTGATGTAGAGTGTGGCAATTCAGGCAAGACTTGAAGGAAGTAAAAGAGTAAGCTAGTGGAGATGTGGGGGATGTCAACATAACTTCTATAATCCAGGACACCCATGAGAATGAAAGGGGACACTATTAATAATTATACAAGTTAACAAGTTCAAAACTGTTCTGGGCCGGGCATGGTGGAGCACACCTGTAATCCCAGTGGCTCAGGAGGCTGAGTCAGGAGGACTGCGAGCTCAAAGCCAGCCTCAGCAATAGCAAGGCACTAAGCAACTCAGTGAGACCCTGTCTCTAAATAAAATACAATATAGGGCTAGGGATGTGGCTCAGAGGCCAAATACCTCTGAGTTCAAT